CTTATCGCATCACACAACTCAAGCCATTTCGGTGTGTTGGTGTCGATATGGCAGGTCCTTTTCAAATTACCATGGCAAAGCTACGAGGTGCTAAGACTCTAAAAGCATATTTTTGTCTTTTCATCTGCTGTTCAGTTCGTGCTATCCACCTTGAGTTAGTTTCGGATTTATCAACTGATGCATTTTTAGCCGCATTGCGACGCATGATTGCGCGCCGAGGAAAACCTTCTGCTCTCCACAGCGACTGCGGAACGAATTTTATTTCTGCGTCAAAATACATAGCCAATATCATGTCCGAAGCAGCTAGAGAAGAGCAGATCTATTGGTCATTTAATCCTCCCTCTAGTCCGCACTTCGGTGGCTTGTGGGAAGCCGGCGTCAAAAGCGTCAAAAAACACCTAGTCCGTGTAGTAGGTGACCGCATCATGGCCTACGAAGAACTCAATACAGTTTTGATTCAAATAGAATCAATTGTTAACTCTAGACCCATATGCGCTGTCAGTAACGATCCCAATGACGTGAGCTGTATTACACCAGGCCATTTTTTGATGTTGGCTCCAGTATCGACACTCCCTGACCCTGATATGACTTCTTCAAACATGTCGAGACTAAACCGTTGGCAGCTAATCTTGCAAATGCAGCAGCACTTATGGTGTCGATGGCATAATGAATATCTCACAAGCCTCAATCAACGTAATAAATGGTGTGACAATCGCCCCAATCTTGATGTGGGCACACTGGTGGTCTTAAACGAGGAAAACACTCCAGTTCTTGACTGGCGTCTTGCGCGTATAGCCGAGGTCTACCCTGGCCTTATGGCATTGTCAGAGTGGTCAAGGTTCGTACTGCGACTGGTGTCTTTTAGAGACCTGTTGTAAAAGTCTGCCCTCTACCAAATCAATAGCGTGGTAAGCACATTTTTCGCTTAAAGCACACAAGATGTTAGCACTTCTATTAGTAATATTTATTAGTATAGTTCTGAATTTCCATTTTTTTTTAAACTATAAACTGTAGGTAAACATGGGTATCATTTTTTCGGAACCGCTTTTTTGTTTTTTGGGAAAATACCTACTGCATTTTGGTGGGCGGTATGTTCAGTTTTCATTTTATTATTTTTCGACTTCTTATGAATTTATATATATATAAACCTATAGCTTATCGATTGGCCGCGAGTACAGCACCAAGAAGTTATTCTTCTTCCTTTCCTCGCGGTATTAAATTCTTGAACTTAACTGGCCATCTATACCCGCCAGCGCCCTTAGGCGCATGCTCCACTAAAAATCACGGTGAAGCGCTAAATCGGTCGCTCTCATTGTGTGGTTCAAAAAGTGCCATTGAACGCATCAGGTCATACGCGTGGTGATCAACAAATTTCCTCACCACTCGAGGCACAGAGGACGCAGCACGAGCCGACCCCTCCGGAAGGAAGACCAAAAGCGAGGTAGGGTCAGTTAAGTAATCAAAAATCTTTTGATCCTGTCTTGAGTAATTTTTGCGACTTCTTGCTGTGCCAGCTGCGGCCAAAGTCCGTTTCCGCGCGGACAAAACAGGCACTATAAATATGGGCTGGCTGTCAAGTACCATCGGCAAACAGAATGACCAGAAAACAAGTAACCCGATTTACAACTGATCACAATATCTACTTTATCAAGTGTTTACCACCTCTCCTATAGCTTAAAGGAGTGATATGGATGCTCTTCTAAAGCTACCAGCCTCCCTGGCAGTTCCATTTTTGACAAGGAATGTTATCCATTGTTTCCTTATAATTGCATCTTTTGGTAAACTAATGGTAAATGGTAAATTGAATGACCCTACATAGGATATGTGATTAATATATCAAAACTATGCATATATGCAAGTCTACAAAAAAAAATGGGATAGAGAAGATGGATGTCTCATAACTTGTCGAAAAATTTTTTACTAAATAGTTATTCACACAAGGGAGGTAGGTGGTACTTACAAATCAACGACATAGCTTACTCTCGAGCCAAGCAAGGTTTGGGAAAATAGTCAGACACTAATCAAGATCTATTCTTCCCTTCGTCTCTTCTTTGCCTACTCAAGTTGTCCCGAATCCAACAAACAGATTTACAAAATCAGTATTTATTGATAGAATTATTTCTATTTAATCAGAAATATTGTCCAGACGATAGAAAATATATACTTGAACAATAACATCCAAGCCCGTATTAATAACAAGTTAACTAAACCTATAAAGGCCAACAACGGTATCAGACAGGGAGATTCTCTTAGTCCGTTGTTATTTAATATAATTATGGATGAAATGATAAAAAAAGTTCGTTTGGGTAGTACAGAATGGGTAATGATAAAGTGACAATTATCTGCTATGCAGACGACGCAATGATATGCGCAGAGAACGAAGACGATCTGTAGAGACTTTTAAACATCTTCAACCGCACAGGCAAGCAATTTAACATGACTATCTCAGCCCATAAAACGAAACGTATGACCACATCAAAAGAGCCGCTCAGATGTAAACTGGAAGTGGACGGGCAAGTAATTCAAACATAGATGGAATTTAAATATCTGGGTATTGACATTACCAGTTATGGAAATGTGGAAGACGAAGTGAGGCAGCAGGTAGCAAAAGCCAATAAAGTGGCAGGATGCTTAAACGATGTAATTTGGCGTAACAAACATCCGAAAAGACTTATAAAAGTACCAGGCTACAAAACAACGATCAGACCGATCATGACCTACACGGCAGAAACAAGATCAGATACCGCAAAAACTAGACGACTTCTGGGGACTACGGAAATGAAGATTCTCCGCCGCATCTTAGGAAAAACACTGCTAGACAAAGAAACGAAAACATCAGGCAATCGTGCGGAGTGGAGAACGTGAACGACTGGGTGCTCCAAAGAAAAAGACAGTGGTTTGACCATATTAACCGTATGCAAGATGGCAGATTAGTAAAAATCGTTAGAGACAAATCACCAGACGGAAGACGGAGCGTGGGACGACCGAGAAAAAGATGGAACGACGATCTCCATCCAGGTTGAGAGGCGACTGATGAAGGAACAGACCATAGGCCTGTTATAAAAGAAAGAAGAAGAATCAGTGTGAAATTGTGTGTGTACGTACTGCAGTATTCACTTACCACACTAAGGAGGTAGGTGACCTACAAATAAAGTACCTCAAAATTTTGAATAGCTGCCTAGAATTCCTGGTAATTCTTAAAAATTTCCTGTAATGCCTTCAGATTTCCCGAAAATATCCTGCAGGTTTATCGTTTAAATTGTTCCTGTTGCAGTTGCAGCTGAACTGATTAAGATAATCCCCCCTTTTCTCCGGTAATCATTTCTGTGATTTTTGGCCAACTGAAAGGCAATTTTATTTTCACTAGGCGTGGTGGGAAACGAAAACTCCCACAATGAAGTTTACAAGGATTTGTAATTGTCAAGGAGTATTGTTCTAGTCAAGGAGTGATTGTTCTAGTAAAACTTGCAGCTTAATTGTTTTCTTATATTTCCTGTAATTCTTGTATCCTAAAACATGTTACCCAAACATCTTTCCTATGTAGCTATTTAAGGCTACCTTGCAGTATGTTAAATAACTCGGATTTGTCTAAAATGCAATAAGGGCCCCATACTTGCCACACTTGTTTTAATTTCGTGAAGTATTTGAGTGGGAGTCCAATAGAAACCACTTTTAAATCTTTTAAATTAACTTGTACTTAAAGGAAAACTCACCCGTATATAGGCACATTCTTTTCCTTAACAATTTTGACCACAAACACAATAAGTTTTTCACAAAAACATGAAAAAGGTATTCGGATTTCAGAGACTGATTTTGCGTTCTTATGAAAATTAGTTAATTTTTTCAGAAAAATTACGGCAATGTGGCAAGTTATATATATATATATATATATATATATATATATATATATATATATATATATATATATATATATATATATATATATATATATATATATATATATATATATATATATATATATATATATATATATATATATATATATATATATATATGTCAACAACTCGCATTTCCATTATCACAGGATTAACAGTAATCAATATAAAATATACAATTAAACCGAAAAAATAATTCCAAACATCACAAAAAATGTTGACCATTTTTTAAAAATTCCATAAAAGAATTTGGTAATACTGGTATTTTATTTGCATTTAATTGTTTGTAAAATGAAACATATATTTATTATTTATATCTAAAGAAATATTTATTCGATTCTGTTGAAATTTGGCAATGTCATTTGGTGTATTAAGAGGCGAATTTAACTCTAAAAGAGTTAAATTATTCTATCCACTGATTTCCCGGGGCACCTTAACAAATTAATCACTTCCCCGCGCAGGTTAGACATTAATTTTAGGACTAAATAAGCCTTTTGATTCACCCAATAACAGTGCCAAATTAAAAAAAAATCAGTAAATATGTGTTTAAATATGCCTTTTTTCAATGAACCACATCACTTCTTCAGAACTGCATACCCAGAATCGTGTTTATAACTTTTTGTCATATCTCTTAATCAGAAATCGCCATCGAAAATATTTCCGTCCATTTTCCAAACCTACTGTAGGGGGTTGTGGTACTCACATTAATTGCTTTGTATGCTAATCAGTTTTATTGATTTCTATTCACCGCACCGCCGTATATTTTGGAGTATTGCGTGTTTATTAATTTTTATGTCAAATTTTAACATCTCCATGGTGCTGTGAACAATCAAATACCCGAATTGATTGGGTACCCTTTGTTCTTTTCTTCCGTAGAGCCATCTTCTACACCTTTTAGTGGTAGTGGAAGTTAGAAGTAGAAGTAGTGGAAAATTTAAGATCCTATACACGTAGTCAGTCTTCGCGACGATTTTCGAAAATTTTTGTGAAGGAAAGTAAAGATACAAAATGATCTGAAGTCTTTTTTTTTCAAAAATTTAAATTATGAGAGTTCCCAGTTTCCAGCAGTCGACTGAAAAATAAAAAAGAAAGCAAGTGACTTACGTTGAAAGCTTTGAGCCGTTCGGGATCATGAGTCTGGGTGTCAATTTTGTCGTCGGAATCGTCGTCGTCGTCATCCTCATCGTCTTTGTTTCCACTCGAGCTGGTCTCGTCGTGAGCGGAACTTGCATCCGCATTTGTTGGACTCTTGAAAACAGAAACGACCATTAACACTTTTATTAAAATCTGAAAATTTCATTAAAATATGCTTAACAATTCCTTCGAAAATGTAAATAGCGGGGTAAATACAGGGCAATTGATAAAAAGTGGGCAAATTGACACATTAACTTAAATAACAATTACTAATTCAAAACTTATTTCACTGTATTAGTTGAGATAAATCTAATCATATTTATTTTATCTGTCCCGCTTCGGTTAAAATATGACGTTTTAATTCTATACTATATATTCTATATATAACTATATAGAACTATATATAACTATACTGTACTATTGTTTATGCCTTCTAAGTCTGACAGTTTTTGACTTATTTGCATTTAAAAAGTGCATAGTTTTTTTGTATTATTTTTTATAAATACCTAAAAGACAAACAAATTTGGTAATAACTTTAAGTGAACTCTCAATAGTTTCTATTATTTCTAAGGGTATTTGCGACTTCTTGTATTTTCAGCCACAACTCCTGCTGCAACGATTTAATCATATTGAATAGTCGAGAGGGTTTAAGTCTAGATTCCGTGGTGGCCAAACAAATTAACTTTCACGGGCAATCCACCAGAAACTGTTCGTGTAACTCACTGGCAACGCAAAATGTGGTGGCGCCCCATGATGCATAAACAACATATTTTCTCTTAAGGTTGGTTTTAATGGTGCCGATCGAAGTTTAAATAACCAATTAAATTGGCCGACAATTCAAAACGACCAAGGAATAAATCAGAAATTACACCACACCAAATATTCACTTTCAACGCGTGCTGAAAATATCTTGCTTTTACAACATATGGTTCCTCGGAATAACACTAATGATTATTTTTCCAATTTCCAATAAATCTTCAAACAATAACCGCTGAATTGGAGCACAATGATATGGATGGAGTTTTTTTTCTTGAAATTCTGCGAAATGATCCTGTTTGACATTAACGGGTGTAAATTTTTTTATAGGTTTCAGAATACTTTGCCTTCAACTAAAATTTAATGAGCAACATCATACTTTTGTTTGGTATATTGTAAAATATATTTAGGTAGAAGTTTTTTTATTAGTATTACCAAAACTTTTATAAAAAAGTAGGGAAAATACCTTGAGCATCTTAAATGGAAATAAAATACCTAAGAAACGGTCAGAGTTAGATTAACTTAGATAAAATATATAATTCTTTCAGATTTTCGTCATGTTTCAATGAGATGAAAAAAATCATTCAATTTTCTAGTGAAACTAGCGCCCTCTAGAAGCAACGCTCAAATAAGTATCAGATTCCTAATTTTCAAGAGACCTAAAACTGCCAACTTTTAATATATAAAGACATTCTCAATTAATGAAGAAATATAAACCTTAAACGCACTGTATCTCTGATACCAATGACATTCGTATGAAGCATATCGAATTTAGTCATATTATTTTTGTCTGTAGTATCTCCAGTTTAGAAATTATTTTTTATGAATCAGATATAATGACTCGAAATTATTTGTATTAAATTGTAATTTGACATCTTTCAGGTGAATATTTAAATTAAAAGTAGTGCTGGCGAATAAATAACACATAGTTTTTTAATAAATTTCATACTATACATTAAATTAACCAAAAGAGAACAAATCCACCAAAAGAGACCAAAACTTCATAGTAACAAAGTATTCGTGTCCACTTGGAAGTGCGGGCTAACAAAATTCAAATTTTGAAAAAAAAAAAAAGATAGATGAACAGTAATTGCAGCCTAAAAAGATTACGAGAGGAGAGCTGGTTATGCTGATAATACAGGAATTTTTCAAGGGACGATGAAAAAAAATGGAGATAGGTAATTTAATTATGCGCATGAGCGGTCATTTTACATCTCAACAACGCAAATGACGCAAAGGCAGGTTAATGGGTTAAATTTAATATACCATGTGCACCATTTAATACCTATATATTATAGCTAACACAAACACGGCAATACTTACAGATTGATCCCTGATCGTAGGGGGCGTCGACTTTCCTTTGGCTAAACCCAAAGCCGAATGGTAATGAGCCCACAGTCCCGCCATTTCATCGCCGCCAGTCATGGACGAGAGGTCCGTTATGTCACTAGACCCGTTTTTTGTTCCTGCAAAAAAAGACTATTAAATCTCAAAACAAAGAAGAACAATAGTATATTATGCAACAAGTGCGGTAAACGGATTTGACTGACGAGTTTATTTGACACGAGGGGAGCGAGTGTTTAATAAACGAGTGACTTAAAAAGTTTACCGAACGTGTTGCTTACCATAATTTTTCTACGACCGTCAGTTTTTGGGTACATTTTCGCAAAACAACACGAATACATTCACTGACATGACCGTCAGAATTGACAAATGTCAACATTCAATGCTTGGGAAATATCTCCGAAAACATCCGATTGTTCCCAAACCCGTGCGGTAAAAATGACATGGTAAAGTGACGTTTCCCGTACGCTAAATCCGTGTGTAATTAGATATTTTACAGACGGGAGTAGAAAAATAATTTAAACTCAAACAAAAGTTTATGGAATTCTTACCGTTGTAAGTGTCGTCATCGTTGCCCTCTGATGACTCTGGGGTAGGCAAGTTTTCCTGGAAATGAAAATAAAAAAATGACAATCCTCTTAGGCAATGCCAATAGAAGTAACGCTAAAATACAACACTCTTAACATGGACCGCAGATATCAAAAAACGTACGACATCGATCGAATAGAATATCCCGACTATATAATAACCATATATTAAATATGAACAATTATTAAGATGGGGAGCCCATCAATTTTCAATTATAATATAGATAATTAAAACATTATTTATTCTATTTATTAAAGACAAATATTAGTTCCAGTTTAAGTTATATTAAAATTTAAATATTTTAAAAAGTTGCAACACTAGAACGGAATAAATCTACTTCAGATTTTTGCAACTAATCAAATAATTTGTATTCAATCTCCGTAACTACAGAATGATGAAATTTCAAATCAGTTTGGAGCAGTTGGAACTGGTGTTGGTATAAGTGGAGCCTCATTGTCCGAGGTGTCGAGATATGTACAAGACACATCGAGTTTCCCTTTTTTATTGGTTTTCTTATCAAAATATAAAAACTGTTGTAACAGCTAAGGTTTGTTATAAACCCCTTATAAATACAGTTACACGGGGGTGAAAAAAAATGTAAACTGGAAACGGGAATATAATTGTCTAGGCTACGCTATGGTGGACGCTGATTAGAAATTGCCATAAAACTAATAAAAATTATTTTTCTTTCTAATAACACATAAACTGTCTATTTTGCTCTATTAACTATGCTTATTTCCCTCTTGAATATTTTAGGCATAGATTTTAGGGCTACCTTCCATATCAATTTACTTAGGGATTAGAGAAACTCTTTGCTCGTTGGAATTGAACGCAAGGTCTACAAAAACATGTAGCTCGATCTTGGTTAAAATTAGCTAACGTCAATGTTCTATATGTGCATATGCCGTAAAAAGATAATATTAAGCGTAAAGGGGCTAGTTTCGTGATTTAAATGTTCGGGTATGGTTGAAAAATCTGTTTTTATAAATATGAATGTCTAGATTATGCTTTTTATTAATTAATAATTACGCTGACGATTCGCAACTGCTTTGTTTAACGGGGAAATTCTATATTCGATTATTAAGCTTAATACCAATAAGTCAGTGGCCATATTATTTGGATCGCATAAACAGACTATGTCAGAAATCATCTAAAGTTGAATGAATGAAGTTGATAGAGTTTAAAACTGAAACGAAAAATCTGGGGCTATAGATGGATACTAACATACGATTCACCAAACATGTCAATTGCCTCTGCTCAGCCTATGGATTGCTTAAGAAACTCTATCCAAATCGTGAAATGAATCCCAACCTTAAATTATCTCTAAGTAAGTCAATAATTATATCAACATTACTTACAAAACATTAAAAACCAATCAGGCGTCTTATTTATCTAAAATTTACCTCGATATAACGCAGGCCTTTTTCTAGATTGATCAACAAATTTTTTAAACGATTTATCCATACTAAATTACAAAAAAAGATGAAAAACATTTATTTTTGATAATAAGAACAATTTTTTATTATAATGATATGGCTTGTAGACGGTGAGTCAACGACAAAGTTCATTACCTTATTGGTTTCAAAAGTTATTAGAAGAAAAATGGTAAATACAAAAGTGGTAACGATTATTAGGATAAATAATTTAAAATTATTTTAAAGCGTGACAAATAAAACATAGATTTTTTTAAATGTTTAAATTTTTAATTTTTTTGATAATAATACATACCTAAACCTAATAGTTTTTCACATACTTTAATTCTTCTAAAAACTATACTAGTTCTTACACTGCAAAAAACTTATGATGGCGCTATTTATTACTTTTGAAGGTTATATCGGATATATCGGATACTAGCGCATTTGAATCATTTTAATCATTTTAAAATGAAAAATTTTGATTTTCTTAAATGACACCATTTATTATTGTTTCCACATTTTACAAACATTTTCAATTTTCAACACATAGTTGGATACATAGCCTATTTCTTATATTTTCTTGGACGCCTCTTGGCATAACCTGTATCCCGAATCCTATTTTCTAAATATTCTGGTGTTGTAAGGGGATTCAGATAACACAGTGGTATTAAATTACATGATCAAGAGTCATCCACCTCTACCGATCCATTTCTGTGGGTAATGATTATTTAAAAATTCTCGAAGTATCAACTTCTTGAAGATTTTAAGGTAAATCATTCTGTAAAAAGCTTAAATATCTAGGCTCGTTAAGTGGTTCGCGAAAAAAATATGTTTCAATAACTTTAAAGTGTTTTATTCCATACCACCCATTAAATGACCAATGGTTTTGGTTTTGCACGTCCCGTATCTGGAATAGATTAACTGCACAATTACTGCAAAAAATAGCATCATCTGAAAACACTTATTTTAGACAAAAACTTTGGATCGGCTTTTATTACTTTATCAGAAGTTCTTGGTGTAGTATGGAAGGGTTGACATTTGTGTTTTCTAGTAGTGTGGTTAACGGTAGATTGGGATATATCACATAAGCTAGCTACTTAACGGCTACTGACCTGGGAATTATCTTGAACTTGAAGTACAATTTCCAATTCCTTTCCCGTTTGTCATAGTCAAAACTACCACTAGCATCAAAGCGTTCCGTTAAAAACTAAAGAGATTGTCTAGTTGGTATAAGTTTACTGCCAACAAAGTATTTTTTTCCTACTCACCCAGTATATAAATCATGAATTCCGCTTTAGGAAAATCCGTACTTGTCGTTTTGTCATGGCCAACTAATGTTATAGCAAAAATCTTAGGCAGAAGGAAGGGTAAATATTATAAAAGTTAATATAAATCGCAGAGTATTAAAAACAAATATGTGAGATACTCAATAAAAGCTGTAGGTTTTTGCAAATTTTTTTAAAAAAATCGAGATTATTGGTTTATTTTGAACACACTGTAGCATCTAATTCAAATTCGGTTGCACGTATCTTTTACGTCATCATCGAATAACGTTAATGTTAAATATAAGTGATCCAAAAATAGGGGAGCTATCACAATTACTTATTATTATTAACAACAAAGTTAAAGAATTTAAAAAAATATATGTTATATTCGTCACGCTTTTTCGAGTCACCACATACTATATATATATATAATTTTAAATTGTGCATCCCAACAATCTTTACAATTTTACTATTTACCAATATCTCATAACTTTTGAAACGAATGACATAATGAACTTAACTCTATCGTTGATTCACACTGTAGAAGGACTGCCAATGCTTCCTGATTGTTTAGATTGATGTCCATGAGTGTATTTTTTTGTGTAAAACAAGTTAAGTTTAAATGCATCCTTTGGGTGGTACTTCGTCTATTATCCTATTTTTTTTTAGTTTTTCATTATTATAATGTTGCTTATTGTTCAATAAAGACAAAGTAATAATAATAATTATTGTTCCTCCAAATACTTATGGAGGTAAACAACATTTTTTTCAAAGCAAACTTCAGTTGGAGTTTCAACAAAAATAACTGAATCAGTAGGTATTGAAGCACCCATGGTGTCGGAAGACATTTTTACTCACAGTAAATCTTGCTATATCCTTAATTCCTTGTGTAGGTAAATGACTACATGGTGGTATTAAATGCTAATTTTTGGTTAGTTGCTGTCTTTCACTATGTCTCGCTGACGTTTCGCCAAACATGCTGCTGGCTTGTTCAGGGCTGTGTGAAAACTGTAGACCCGCATATTTGTGTGTCAATGTCAGTCAGCACTGTTGGGAAACGAAGTACAAAAATTCAAAAATGAATCGACTACAATGAAGATTTAAGAACTTAAACAAGTTGCGGTGGCCGCTCTAGATAGTTTGAAACCCCAGGTGGTGTTGAATGAGTGTTTGGAGCGACATTTTAAATTAGCAATATTTCAGTTAAATAAGATAAAAACAAGGGAATGTAATTTTAACATAAAATATAATGAGATAAAAACGGGTGAATATGATTTTTACATAAGAAAAAATAAAACTCAAGAATATTATGTGATATTCACATAAAATAAAATGAAGAATAAGACAGTGCTCCCTCCTATACAGATCTTTACTTAGAGAAAATTGTGCAAGTCGCTATACCTGAGATATTGGAACAAGAACCAGATGTAGTGGATCCCGTAAAAGCAACAAAGCGTACTTACGTGGGTCACAATATGCGCGGAGACAGGCACCACATTAAAAAAAAGGAAAATACAAGGCAAAAGAACCTAAGAGTGAAGTATCATAATTATTTGGAGCACCTGCATAATGATAGCCAACCTTCATGCCAACCGCATGTAAAGAAGAAAAATGCATTCTTGATGTTCCTATAAAATAAAACACAATATATCTTGATATCCGCATAAAATAAAAAGAAATTTGGTGGGATACATTCCGATATCTATATCAATTAATAAAATGATATGAGGTGGATATTATGAGGTCATAAAATAAAATACAGCCTTGTCAATTGTGTGATCATGAAAGATGCGATCATAATAAAATAAAAAATTAATATAAAATTTGTTGAGTAATTTTTTTTTCGAAGGGTGGTGGGATTATCATTTCTGCCATTCAGTTCTATTAACAATTTTTGTCAGGCGAAGAAAACTTAATAGTTAGTTCTAGATGGTACGATTTAAAAAAGATGAATACAGTTACTTGAATAGTGCAAGAATAGAGGGTTTACGGCATCCTGACATAAGTACTATTCACGTTTTCCTCAGTAATAATTGCGGTAAACGCCTTGGCATTAACCATGCCAATAAAACCTGATAAGCGAGGGCGATATTAGAAACGTAATTCTACAAATCCACCTTTTTTTTTCATTGTTCGAACGTCCTTTTTTGTTGCAGCTACCGATACACAGGAGAATGTCAAGGTGACTAACTGATCTTGCTTAGAAAACAAATAAATTCGGATAAACGATTTCAGGAAACCGGTTCGAAACAAAAGAACGTCGAGAGCTCGCAATATACGCGCACTTCATTGCGATTATTATATTCTATCGACGCGTATACTATACAAAAGGAATATT